CTATTTTCATATGTCTCAAATTCGTTCCTTCCTTCTGCACGGTTGCTCGTTTCTCAATTTACCACAACTTTCCAAACGTGCCTAGAGCACGCGTAACGAGTAGAACAGTAAAAATCTCTAATTCCGAAAGATTTTTGCAATCGTTGGCCACGGGAGCGTGTGTGTGTGCGTGAAAAGTTTACGCAACGTTATAGGAACGTGTAACGTTAATTTCAACCGGAGGACAGTTTGGTCTAAGATGATGCTGTTCTACCGCGAGACTTTCTCCTTCGTGAATCTTTCGTCTCCGTGTGCTACAAAGGTCGTTCCGTTCTGGAACTCCTTCGTTTTTCTTTTAGCCGCGTACCTTCCGTTGTTTCGCTCCACCACAAATATACGCGCGCTTCGTCGCGTAACTCTTCGAGGAGAAGAAGGATAATTAGACGAGTCGTAAATGGTAAAGGTAACGCGAAAGATCGTAAACGAAGAACCGAAGTGACCTAACCTAACCGATTTAATACCCTGCCATTTAGTACGAAAGCATCGTGCTTTCCGAATATTCATCGTTCTTCCCTCCCCGATTCACGATCCAACTTAGCTTGATAGATCGAAAGCTTTTCCTTACCCTTTCAGCAACCATCTCCGAAAACTCAAACAGTCGCGGCTAGGAGCTGAACTGAACTGAACTATCTCGATAAATCCTCAAAGTCCTCGGACGTTAAAGTCTTACGAGCACCGAGTAGAAAGCAGCAATAAAAGTAACACGATTACCCACCTCGCGATTTTAACGAAAACTGTTACTCTTTTACAGTTTTACTCGGCATGCGTGCGGAATACACACTCGTTCCAAGGGTTGCAGCCGTTACAGTAGGACAACGTTGCTCGTTATTTCGCTCCTTATCTCTAAAATTTTCATCACTTCGATAGAGTAATAAATTTTGCGAAATAACCGTCCGATTCGGTTGAATTTACCGCCGGTTTAATTGCTGGTTGCATAACACAGGGAGCACGCGAGCCGCAACGCCGATCGTGCGATAAGTTATTCGATAATACACAATAATGGATCGTTCTGGTTAGGAAAACGTTGATCGGACGAACTTGAACCGATGATCGAAACAGCTGAGAAGTTGCACGGCAGGTTTCAGACAGACGGTGTAAATCTAAATGCAATTTGGTCGGTGCAAAACGCGTTTTTGTGGGCCGGCGTTGGTCCCGTTGATGGTACAATTACGGTGGGCAACGGTGACGGCACGCTCTTTCTACAAGCCGGCTAGGAAAGGCTAGGAAAGGGGGTACAATACCTATATAAAGCTTGAATGAAGATGCTCCCAGCTATTCACTCTCACCTTTCTCACAAGCGTGTGCACGACGCAAATCTTCCGGAGGAATCGCCAGGGAAGATCGGCTTGGTGTTCGTCTCCCGTCAAAAGGATTTCGCTCCGAGGTGAGTGTCTCAACGTTCCTACACCTTCCATTTCCGTTCTCCCTTCGATCCTCTTTTCTTTTCTATTCGCCGAAAATTCCTATTCGCTCGGAACGTCCGCGTCCTAGCGCCAAACGAACAACATTCCCGGGAGAAAGTGACTTGGAAATACTCGCGAAAAAATCATTACCACTTTGTTCGTTTCCTGGACGGACGTGAATTCATTACACCGCGAAGAAGAAAGCGACGCGTTCGATATGTGGAATAATCGAAACTGCGCCTGATTAGAAACTCGTAACGACACTTTTCAAATAACGGAGAATAAGTCGAAGAGTACAATCGATAGATTACGTTAATTTTCATCCGAAAGAGTGATCCGGTTCGCTCGGCGTATCCTCTTACATACGCATGAATCAAACGCCGCGGTTTTCCTGTAATCGTGAATTACATTCGTGACGGAAGGAGAGCGAGAAAGGAAGATGGGGCAAGTTTCGACGATTGGCGACCGCGTCCCGAAGAAAGCAGCGTGTAGATGTACGTACGCGCGCTTCCACGCTAATCGTTAGGTCAGTGGTACTCATTGTTAGACGGGTGCAAGTATTTCGAGAGAACTTGGACCGCGGCCACTCGACGCGTACCGCATACGCATGCTTCGCGAGTCTCGGCCTTCCACTTTGACTTTTCTTCGTTCGCCGCGACCCCTTTTCACATCCTTCTCAACCAAACAACTCGAGTATTGCCAAGTACACCAAGATATATTTCTTCGCTAGCTCGTCATCTCCTCTAACGTGGCGTAACTCTTTCAAATGCCACGCGAATCATGCAACAAGGTCGATTTCTCGCTACTTCTTCTACGAAAAAATCGTTGCCGTCGATTCGGAACTGGCAAAATGGCAAAACCTCGTTTCAACGGTTTCGTTCGTGGAACGTGGGACAGCAATGTTCCCTCTGAAAATCGCAGACAATCTTCGCGTTACGACACACGAGTTAATCGATGATCGAGAAACGAAGCCTTTCGGCTAACGTTGTCCGAACCAAAAGTAAAAACCGCGAACCACGGTTTGCGCTCGCTCGCTCGGCAACGCGAGCCGCGTTTCACGACGCGTAAGGCGATCGATGTCCTCGTAACCCAGACCTATCGGATGTAACTACCAGTGAAAACTGGCAGAGATCGAGAGATCGCAACCACATCCAGACAACGCTCTTCTCTCGTTAACACGATTAACGTTCTTATTATAACCGATTAAACCGATTTTCTCTTCGTTTCTCGCGACTCCTCCGAAGGCTATTGGTCTGCGCAACAGCAATTCGATTCGACGGACAATCGGTGAAACCGGATCGTTAACGCGTAGAAGAGGTTTAGCGTCGCTCGTCTCTTACGAAATCCGGCTAATGAACAAGTACCGTTCCGTCTCGTTATTACGATGCCGTCGCGGTCGAAGCGAAACCGCAGCATCTCAAGTGCACGTTACACTTGCCCAATCCCGTTGCCGCAAACGACCACCTTACTTTGCCTACGATAATTACGCTACCTGGCTGCGCCTCGCGCTTCCCAAATTGGACCGATCCAACCCTTAAGTAACCCCCGCTATTCCACACGGTTCTCAGCCTCGCGATGGGAACAATACGTTTGCGAGCAATATCAATGGTTAATTGATACGATGCAAAGTAAGCCTGACCCTTACTTTTTCCACTTCCACTTGCCGGTATCGACGAAACTGAGAAATTCAGAATGGCATAAATATCGAAGCGTTCTTTTCACTCGTCGTCGAGTCAGCCGCACCACTCTAATTTAATCGCAATCTGATTTCTGCAACCCGCTAATCTCCCTTTAATCTCGACCTTTGTAACGTTCGTTCGGCAGCCTCCGCTCTTTCTCTCACACCGTTCATTATGCAGCCTTTTCTTCGATTAAACGTATTTCCAAATAATAAATGTATGTACATATTCGGAAACTGGAACGTTCCCACGAATTCGATTATCGTGATATATTCCAGTTGGAAATCGGGCCACGGTGCGCAACACGTACGCCTGCTTTTCAACATTTTTTTCATCGTTACGATCATTCGACTTCCATAATCACGGTCGTTACACGCTCGTTACACGCTCGTTACACGGCCGATCGTTTAGCCAACTTTCCGCCTTAACCGTCTTAATTACATCGGAATGTTATTTGCAGAAGTCGCTCGACCCCGCGCGACTTGTATTTTAACGAACGCTTCTCTACGCTCCGCGTTTACGCACACCTCCTGATACTCATTGGCAACCACAGCCACGGCGACAGTTGACTCGAGTGGGAATAGGAGAAAAAAACGTGAAATTCAATTCGATTAATCGTAGGTAAGGAACGACACGTATCACATCGGAGAGTAAACTGTACAAAGGCATCAACCTTTCGCGCGTTCGATCCCGAGAAGCGACTTTCACCTTTCACCTCGGCTGAACACGATTCAACGGTTAACTTCTCGAACCTTTGCCGGAACGAGAGGAACGTCGCGCGGATGCTCTTCCTTCCGAAGGAAGAAGCGCGGCGACCGCCACGAGCATCACGATTCAGTTTCACCGTCCGCCAACGATCGATAAACCGGATCTAGCCTCTTTGGTTATTCCGCTCCCGATGCTTCGAGTTTCCCTGCCCAACACCAACTTCCTCTTCTTCTTCCAAAGTCATTACTATATCCTTTCCTTTCGAGCAATTCAAGTCACGAATAGAAACCGTTTGTTAATTATCGGTATTTAAAGTGCGATAGGTACCGTAAAAACAAATCGATTCACGTTGATCCTACCGCAAATAATTCGCGACTCGACAAATTTACTCACTTTCTCCGCTGCGTTAAATTCCATCTGCAACGGCGCGGCGTGTAAGAACATACGAGAGAGAGAGAGAGAGAGAGAGAGAGCGTGCGTAGAATCGCGGAGGCTCGTGAAAGCGTAGAAGAAAAAAGACGAAGCCGGCGATACCAAAAATTGACGAATTGCGTCACTTCTGTTCTCTCCGCGAAGCGGAAACTGTTGGCGCAACCGCCGAAAAGTGTTAATTAGCCGGGGATCGAGGCTGTACGTCGCGTTTCGACCGCGCCGAATTAAAACGCGAATAAGAGAGACCAGATGCGATTGCGGCCGCCCCCTCGTAATCTGATCTGACGAAACACCCTAACGGCGGCGTACGTGAGAAGAAGGAAACAATCGTGGAAACGGCCTTTCTCGCCACCAGAAAACTATTTAGCGATTGTACTCTCCGGCTCGTTAAGCTTTCTGTCGAAATTATGACGAAACGAGACGAGACGCGGTCGAGAGGAATTTTCGTCGAAAGCACGCGACCTTGCGTGCAACCCTAAATTCGCGCAAACGCACGCTCTTAATTAGCCTTTCGTGTCGAAGGTGAACCGAGTAACCGGTACGCTTTCCATTGTTTTTGCTTGCTGGCGAGTTCGCAGCCTTGGAGCACGTGAAGCACGTGGAGCACGCGGAGCACGCGGAGCACGCGGAGCACGCGAAAAATTCAAGGTGTCCCAAATCTACTCGGACGATCGCGGCCTGGTTTTCCCATTTTTCCGTCTCGAGAAGTAAACGAAACGGCGTTACAGGTGAGAAGAAGATGAAGGAAATCGCGACGCTACTGATCGTAGCCGGCCTGGCCGTAGCTGGAAGCCAGGAGTACGGAGGAGGACATGCCCTATTCGTGAGAACGTCGTCCGCAGCTGGTAAGGGAGAGAGAGAGATACGGGACGGCTCGAGCATCGAGTCTGACCCCGACCACTGTGTGATCGATCGGGAGAAAAGAAAGCGATAACGTACGCTAACGACCAGCGTGTTTGATCAAAGCAACCGTTTAAAATCCATTAGCGCACTCGAGAGTCCAGCGAGCTGCTCCGCAGTCGGCCGCAGACGTGATGGCGCAAAATATCCTAGAGTGGATTCAAGGGATCTACCGGCAGGGCGCACGTAAACGTACGTTCTCCAGGGGAACCTTCTCCTCTTTCAATTACCCTCTTTAAAACGAGGATGCGCTCTCTCCCGCACTTTGCCTTTTACCAATTCTCTTTCGACCTCTTCGCATCTTTCGCACCAATCTCTATTCTCATTTGGCAAACGCAAAGAGAACATTTTTCAAATCTATACGCAGATGCTCAAGAGGTTCAAACTCCACTTATCTACTCTTAAAAACACACGGAAACGACACCCTGATACTCCAACGAATCAGCGGCCCTTGCCCAAAGGATGTTTCCGCGGATAAGGATCTTGTCGATCGTGATGCGATCGCTTCACGCTTATTAGCAATGCACCACGCTTATTACCAATCTTACCACGTATTTTATATTAATCAAACCTCGCGATAAAACGCACGCAACGTAACGTAGACAGTTGTTAATGGGTGTTGCGCTTCTAGGAACACGTTAGCGTAAAGTTCTAAGCGTTAAAACGCCATTTTTTCCTATAATTGCCAATACCGAGAGTTCTCACAGCCGAGATCGATCGTCTTCCAGCTCGTCAACAGTCGGATCCACCCGGGTACTTGCCGCCGTATACCACTCAAAGACCACCGGAAAGACCTCGACCCTTTCAAACGCCCTCCACCGGCCAACAACCAACCTACTCTTCTCCGACTCAGAACGAGGTGACCAATTACCCTTTCCAGAGGCCGCCGTCAGGTTTCTCTTCGTCGGGTCAGTCGTCCACCGTTCAGCCACCGCCCTTCTCCACCCAGAGACAGACTTATCTTCCGCCGAACCAACAGTCTCCCTACGGTCCGTCTTCCTACAATCCCCCTCGACCAACACCTACGCCGTCTTACTCCACTCCCGGTTCTTCCACTTTCCCGCCGTACAGCTCCACGCCTCGACCACCCTCCACCACCTTGTCTTCTCAGCCTGGATATTCCACTTCTCTTAGTGGAATCTCTACCAGCTATGGTTCCACTCAAAGACCAAGTCCTACCTACGTTCCATCCGCTTCATCCGCTGCGGGATATCCTGCACCCGCTAGATATCCTAGCACCACCTACGGTTACCCCTCTGTAAATCTTGGCCCTTCTTATCCGACCGTCGAGACAGGAGTTAATACGTACAACGAAAATACTGCTGGTGGATACCCCTCTTCAGCGGGCTATCCTTCGTCCGTTCCTTCTCAAGATACCACCGGAGGATCCAGCGGATCCGAAGCTGTTATACCCTCTGGAACTGGTGGTTCTACCGGAGAAGGTAAGTCGTATCGGTTGTCCTCCTTGTTACGATCGATCGATAAAGTCGCCGCCGGCTTCGTTACAATTTTATTCGCTGTCGCAGGTAGCAGCGGTTCTGGAACTGTCACCGGAGAGGAATCCGAGGATGACCAAGATTTCAAACACCCTCCGCATATCCATGCTCTCGATGTCGAGTGCAGCAAGACCATGATGACTATTAACATCGAGTTTAATCGCGTCTTCGACGGAGTTATTTACTCCAAGGTAAACGGCTACCGTACCGTTTGCCGCTATACGTACACGTTATAACTCCAGACCTATGGTGTATGTTTTCAGGGATTCTACATGAATCCAGAATGTAGATACGTCGCGCAAAATTCCGGGCAGACCAAGTACTCGTTCACAGTCAGCTTGGATTCCTGCGGTACGCAATTCATCAACGATTTCGCGGGCGAAGCTGGCCAAGCGTACTTGGAGAACGTGTTGGTTCTACAGGTAAGCACGTCTTCGAGCTTGATATCTTTAAAGAACGATGATATCTTTCTTCCTCTCGTTGTTCAGAACGAGCCAGGTATACAGGAAGTTTGGGACACGGTGCGTAGAGTCCGTTGTCTCTGGGAAGGTAACATCAACAAGGCACTGTCGGTGAACTTTTCTGTAGACATGTTGAATCAAGAGATAGTGACGTTCAGCGGTGATACGGCAATTGCCAAGTTAGACATCCAAGTGGGAAGAGGACCGTTCGCCCCTGCCGCCGATGGTCTCGTTAAAATTGGAGAAATTATGACGCTAGTCGTATCCGTCGAGGGCGACCCCGCCTTTGACCTTCAGGTAACCACAATTATCGCAATTGATCTTCGTTCCCGAGAAGGTTATCGATTTTACAACGATTTCGCTAATTTTAAGGTGCGCGACTGTCTTGCTCGCGACGAATCCTCGACCAACACGATACAACTGACGGACGAAAGAGGATGCATATTGAAACCGAAATTGTTCGGAGCGTTCCAAAAAACGAACGACACCGGCAATACGGGAGCATCGATTATCGCTTACGCGTTCTTCCAAGCTTTCAAATTCCCCGACGTGATGGACCTGTTCGTCGAGTGCAACATAGAATTGTGCAAAACCGATTGCGAACCGTGCCCAGAACCAAATCAGGTAATTCCAATCTATCTGATCAGCATCGCGATTGATCAACCCTGCTTGTCGTCTATATCCAAACTATATCAAAAACTTTTCAGCAAATCGAGCCGCGTAGACGACGACGATCGGTAACTTACACACCGTCGAACACGCCGCTCAATGGTTCCGCGGTGCTGCTCGCTGATCCTATACGAGTGGCTCGTGGCTTCAGAGTAATTATGGTGGACGATTTGAGCAAAGCTAGCAACCAAGTCTTGGAGCAGCTCGAGGAAACTGCCGTCGAACAAGTAGCTAGAACCACGGTGAACCTTTGTATGACGTACAGTGGCTTTTACACAGCGATCTCCTTCATGTTCAGTACCGTTCTGATAGCTACGATCAGCGCGGTTGCACTTTACGTCAAACTGCAACGAGTGTACAGATCGAAAGTCGTTATTTCGTAGAAGTTCGATCGCGTACGATATAGTCGGAAAGTTGTTACATTTTTTTACTCTAGATCCACTTGCTTCTTCTATACGTAATATTTCGCTGAATTACGTCCAAGGTCGTGAAACGTTACTTGCCACCCTCGCGATATATTACAATACCATCCACGCGTTTACATACGACGATATCAATTGTACAGCCATATTTTCTACACCGATGTACAAAATGTCCAACTATCGTATCCCAGCAGAACCGAATTCGAGCTTTTTCTTTCAAACATAGACAAACAGTAAGTGTAGATCTTAGACGTTTCTTAGATAAATCAAATATTCTCGACGATAAACGGCTTGGTTCGATGCTCTTTTCCATATCGAACGAAACCACTCGACGATAAGTTTGTAAATACGATTAACTAACTGTTCGGCCGTAAAA